ACTTGTATCCTTTACCAGTTCATAATTTCCTACAAACCTCAGCAATAACAATCCAAACTTCACTTTTTCCTCTCACAGTTGTCGCAGCATACTCTCCACCTAAAATTGCAATACCTGAACCTAACTTCATTTCCTTTCTTAATTCCCTAGGACAACACTTCCTTATAGGTGCAGACCTTAACGCCAAACATCAGCAATGGGGAGCCAGAACCACGAATTCCCGCGGGCGATCGTTGCTGTCTGCACTTAATTCCCACAATTCCAACATACTTCCCCCTGATATTCCTACATACTGGCCAACCGATCCTAACCGTAATCCTGATATCCTCGACTTCTTCATTCACAAAGGTCTCGGACCGCTAAATTACTCAGTTCTACGGCTCGATGACCTTTCCTCAGATCACAGTCCGCTAAATCTAACCCTTTCCGCATCTCCTATCCCCAGGTGATCTCCTCCCTCATTTATCAGAGGCCCAGTCAACTGGAACCTTTTCCGCCAAACAATTACAGATGCAATAGACCTCAGAGTATCCGTAAAAACCCCTCAAAACCTAGATAATGCAGTGAGTTCCTTTACCACCTTGATACAACAAGCAGTCTGGACTGCATCCTCACCAATCCCCTCCAAAAAATACCTTAAAAAGATTCATCTGCCTCAAATCTTTACCGACCTCATTAAATCTAAACGCCAATCTAGGACCATCTGGCAAAGAACCAGGCATCCTGATGATCGGAAACTGTACAATTATTATACCAAACAGGTAAGAAAAGAACTAGCTTCCTTTAGATCCCAATCATATAATTCCTACCTCTCTTCCCTATCTACAGATGACAATTCCCTCTGGAAGTTGACCAGAAAAATCCTTAAATACCATTCTGTTTCCCATCCCCTCCGATGCGATGATGGAACCTGGGCTTCGTCAGATGAGACTAGAGCTGAAGAATTTGCCAAATACCAATCAAAAACATTTACTCCCCAGCCCGAACTCCATTCCACCCTCACTGTTGAAGTTGAAAAATTCCTCTCTTCTCCTATTCCTCTCTCCTTGCCTCCTATAGCTGTCAACCCCTCTGAGGTCAAATTCCTTATAAGTAACCTAAAACCTCGAAAATCCCCTGGACACGATCTCCTTACTTCCCAGATCCTTAGACAACTTCCCAAAAAAGCAATTATATTCCTCACATAACTATACAACTGTATTCTCCGCACAACTCACTGTCCTAGCACTTCCTTTTCAACTCTGTACCTCTCCCCATCTCAGACACAGTTCGGTATCTTGGATTCCTTTTAGACAAAAGACTAACTTGGAACCCACATACCAGACTTAAAAGACAAGAACTTAACCGGCGATTTGGCCAGATATACAGACTACTTAACAGAAAATCCATTCTATCAATAGAAAACAAACTATTAATATACAAGACCATACTCAAACCCATCTGGACCTACGGACTTGAACTGTGGGGGACAACTAAATTTTCGAACATCAAACGCATCCAATCCTTTCAGCCTAAAGTCCTCCGTATAATAGTCAATGCTCCTTATTATGTTACAAACAAAACCCTACATCATGACCTTTACATCCCTTATGTCCTTGACGTTATTCCATTTCGATTCTCAAATTTTCATCTGAACCTAATCCACCATCCTAACTCCTTAGCACAATCCTTATCCAGCTCCAGTCACCCCTACAACCCTCCTCGAAGGTTGAAACGGCAGTGGCCTCGAGACCTTTTGTAAAGACTGTCACTGGAGTTCTGGCAATGGCCAGCCTCTCCACTCACGTCATGAGCGTCTGTTGCTTTAGTGCCCTCTCTCAGTTTCCACTGGACTCCTGCCGGTGACGCGGCTGAGAGAGAAGTGCTGGGATCTCTTAGAGTCTCGCTTTGTCCTTCACACGTGGAGGAAAGGGCTGGACTCGGAGCTCCCTTGGCTGATTGTAAATAATGTAAATCAAGTATGAATGTTTTTCTTTTTATATATTAAGTATGAATGTTTTTCTTTTTTATATATTTATTTGTTTTACTTATGACTTTTTTAAAATTTGATTTCAAGTTACATTTCTTTAGTTTTATAGTTTTTACCTTTGTTATATAGATATATATTTTTATTTTTTTTCTATTTATTTTTATTTTTATTTTTTTTATTGCATTGTATATATAGTATGAATGGGCCTCACTCAGCTTTAGTACTCAGTGCCCTTAAATGTGGCAAAATGTATAATTTCTCAATTAAAGGATTTAAAAAAAAAAAAAAAAAAGTAACTTCCGCCATAATGTCAATTTAGAAAAAGCTGTAGTTCTCACAAAAACATCCTTTAGGGCCTTAATCATTAACTTTGCAGTTATACAATCCTTCACCAAGTCAAGATGTTTGTCAGAAAGTCCTTCAATAATGATAGCTTTAGCTTTGGTTTCTTGTAACAGGAATGTTTTCTTGATATTTTCATCATTTGGAACTTCCTTTGTTAGCACATCCTTAATCTGTTCTTTTTCCAATATTGCATTGATTCCAAATTCCCAATTACTATAATTTAACCCGACTAGAATAGGAACTGCAGAACTTACTTTAGCCATTGCTTCTTTGTTCTTATAATCACACACGATTACGCGAGGATCATGAACTATTGTCAATACACTGGGTCCATAACCTGCTAATAATGGTTAGGGTTTCTTTACAAAACAAACACAAACAATAAAGAAACGTTGATTGTGGAAGAACACTACAAACATAGAAGCCATATCGAGGGAGTATATATTGTTGTGATCACTGACGTCACATCGGACAATGTTGCCAGTAATAGTGTTGTAGGGAGAATATACAATAGCAAATAACATAAATCAATGAATCCTAACAAAATTGACCTCAGATTAACCTTGAAAACCCCAGAAGACCTTGACAATGCCGTACATTCCTTTACCACCACCACTGAACACGCAGTATGGACAGCTTCCTCTCCAAATTATTCCTCAAGAACCTCTAAGAAAAATAGTTTACCCCAACACCTCATAGACCTAATCCACACCAAACGCCGTGCCAGATCATTATGGCAACGTACCAAACACCCCATTGATCGCCGCTCCTACAATTATTATTGTAAACTACTAAAGCAAGAATTATCTTCATTCAGATCCCAATCCTTTGATACCTACCTTACTTCTCTCTCTGTTCACTGCAATTCCCTCTAGAAAATAACCAAAACAAATTCCAAAATCCCATTACATTTCCGACCCCCTTCGTCGATGCGATGACTCTTGGGCAGCATCTGATGAAGAGAAAGCTGAGGAATTCGCCAGACACCTCAGACACATTCACTCCTCATCCAGAATCCCATCCGATCCATAACGCAAAAGTAGAAGAATTCCTCTCTTCACCGATTCCACTCTCCTTACCACCTAAAGCAGTTAATCCATCTGAGATCAAACATCACTTACAAAAACTTCCTCTCCGTAAATCTCCTGGTTACTACCTCCTAATTCCACAGATCCTTCGACAACTTCCACCCAAAGCTATCATATATTCCTTACATATATTTATAATAACATCTTAAGAACTACCCACTTTCCTCTCCTATAGAAACATTCCACCATCGTCCTTTTCCTGAAACCAGGCAAACCTGCCAACATTTAGACCAATTAGCCTACTCCCTATACAATTTTTTTTTAAAAGATCCTACTGAAAAGAAGCATACCCATAATAGAATCCCATAAAATTCCTACCCATCAATTCGGATTTCGTTCCCAACATTCCATCGTCCAACAAGGACTCCAAGTTGTCGACCATATATCCTCAGCCCTAGAAAAGAAGCAATACTGTTCGGGTGCATTTCTGGACATAGCACAGGCTTTTGACCGAGTATGGCACGCTGCACTGCTCTTCAAGCTTAAACTCCATCTAGCACAGTCCTTATGTCTAATACTCCGATCCTACCTCTCTGACCGCTCCTTTCAAGTTCGCTGTGGTACTGAATTCTCTGCCTATCATTTAATTGAGGCGGGAGTTCCGCAGGGCAGCGTCTTGGATCCTATCCTTTACATTCTTTTCACCGCAGATATTCCTGCCCATCCTAATACACTCCTGGCAACATTCCTGATGATGATACCGCTATCCTTTCAACCAACTCAGATCCTAACGCATCGTCATTAAACCTACAAATACACCTCTCCCTGATTGAACACTGGTGTAAGAAATGGCAGATTAAAATAAACGAATCAAAATGTAAAAACATAACCTTCACCCTTTGTCGTAAATCCTGTCCACCAGTTTATTTTAACACCATCCAGCTTCCTTTCTGAGATGCAGTCCGGTACCTTGGCTTTCTCTTAGACCGACGACTAATCTGGAACCCTCATACTAGACTTAAAAGACAGGAACTAAAACGACGATACTACCATGCGGCACCATACGATACGACCAACTCTACTACTATACCAAACAGAAAATCTAAACTCCCCATTGAAAACAAATTACTGATCTTGTTTTCTATATCGCAAAATTTTCTAACATCAAGCTCATACAATCCTTCCAGTCAAAAGTCCTTCGAACAATAGTCGATGCTTCTTTCTATGGAACCAACAAAACCCTACATCATGACCTCAACATCCCATTTGTCCTAGACATTATAATTATCTATATCAAATCCTGATTATGAAATACGTTATTTGAAATACTGCCCAAGTATGGTTCAAGTATTGCACCAACCGAATAAAAGAAGAATATTTAATTTTTAAAATATTCAGGTCTAGTACCATAACTTAAGAAAGGTATTTCCTCTGGTATTACCCACCCAATGGAACAGTATATTTAAACACTATAACTATAAGTTTGGTTACTTTTTCTACTCGACAGTTGTGTTATTATATAAGTAGATTGTTTTATTTTGTAAATATTGAAAAAAATAAATTTATAAAAATATAAGATAGTTTCATACAATCTACACAATTCTTTTTTATGAATCCTAACCTTATTAAAATAATTTTTTATCTTTTTTATTTTACAGGATCGGAACATTCCATCGCAAGTCAATCGATGAGGGTCCCAGCATTGTGTTTACCTACACTCCATTTTCTGCTACCAACAACAAGTATTTTTGCTTTGACCCATTACTCCACCAGATAATGGTCCCGAGGATTGTACCACGCGCAATAATTGACAAATATCCTCAAGTTGATGGTATGTTATACAATTTAACAAAGCAACTGATATACATGTTATTCAAAAATACTTTTCAGAATTATTTAAATAATAAAATATTCTCAATATCTTGTTTATGTATGTCTTGTTACAATATTTTCATAGCATGGGCCTCATTAGGAAATTTTTAAATGGCAAAATACATTATTGTATATATACATTCTTCAGGATAAAAAGATCATCTTTTAATAGATGCACCAAATCTCTGTGGTCTCTGGTTTCATGAAAGCCAGGTAAACTCTGTAAGAAAGGTTTATCTATGGATCAGCCAATAACCAGTTGCCATTCCTTAGAGCTATGGAAGGTATAAGGAAGGTAAATCATTTTTTATTGTTGGAATCGTTAACGATGAATACTGTTAAGAAGCATAGGAGCTGATTGCTTGTTGAAGATGGGTACTAGCTAAGAAGGGATGCTATTGCAGAGTTTCTTATTATTACTGGCCATGATCAAACAATGCCATAGAATGGCAGACTGTCCACTCTTAAATATGTTTATGTACTTTAGCAGCAACTATGGAAGTAACCCATTTAAAATATGCTTACGTTTAATGGACTTAAAAAATATGATACCCTCCAAATCGGAATGGTACTGGACTGTAGATCTCTAATGGCAGAAGCTGAAAAACCCAAGAATGCATTATAGATCCTTAAATTAATATTTACCAAGGAGGAGGCATACATCTTTACCCTCTCAAAAATATAGTAAAGAGGAAGTAATTACTAACTGACTTTCCGATTTCATTTCGATTGCTTCAAATCTTCTTAGACCAACGGTTGGCAATTTTTGGCACATCTGTTAAACTGATTCCATTCCATTAGCTAACTTTACATTCCAGTGTTTTTTTCCTTTTCATCTCTTCCCTTAAATCTCTTCCCTTAAGTCTTTTTCCTTCTGCCAGCCCAGGCTTTGTGTTTTCTCTTTGATATTCTTGTTTGTTCTCTTACCTTAACTTCATTTTTGTCGTTTGGGCACGCTCACGTTTACTACAAGAAGGAAGTGGTCACTTCCGATTTCTGAGCATCTCTCACCCTGGAGATTAATTTTCTCTCCACTATTAAATAGTCAATAATGGACTTTTCACCTCTAGATGGTTCCTCCCTGGTATATTTATATATTTCTTTGTGAGGAAACTTTGTGTTGAACAGACCAAGATCATTTGCGACGCATAATTATAACAGCCTCTTTCTAGTGTTGTTCCTAATCTCTTCTCCATATGGGGCGAGCACTCTTTCAAAACTAACCCACTCTCCCATTCAAGTCTCCCAGCAGTATTAGATTTCCGTCTTCATCGTGCATTGCTTTCTGCGGCATTTCAAAGACATCTTTGAAGAAGCATTTCAACATATCTTTCACCTCTGTTAATTGATCCTCATTAGGTCCGTGTGCCGCTATTAATGTCCAATTTTCCTTGGTTTGCTGATCTCTTAGCTTCGAAATCAATACCCTCTCATTAATGCTCCTCCATCCCAAAATATTTCTTGTGAAGTCCCTATGAATAAGAAATGCCATTCCTGCTTTAGCTCTCTCGTTGGTTGATACTCCAGAGTAAATTACCACATGTCCATTACCAACATCTATGCAGCCTGATCCTTCTTCGTTGTTTCAGTGATCGCCATTATCTTCCGATGAGGTCTTCTCCATTTCTTCCACCAGCTCCATCTCCTTCTTAGCTAGACCCCTTACGTTCCCTGTTGCATATTATGTTGTTCGATGTTCTCGTCAAGTTATAGTCATGGAAGAAAATCCGGCTTTCTTCCTTGTATTTATTTTAATAATTTTTATTCTGGGATGTGAGAGATCGGCCCACAGTCGCCTATTGCAGTGGAGGGACTGCCTCCTTAAGGCAGCTACAACAAACTTGTAGCTTCAGAGTTCTAAACAGGATATTTAACTCCTACTTCCTGAGACTATCAGATGAGATGACCCATTTAAGTTACCACATTGACAGATCGTTTAGCCAGTATAATACTGTTACCATAGGGCACCACGCGGACGAGAGCTGTCTTGACCCCGTCTAAGTCAGCTATATACATATAAAATAAAATCCAGCTGATTAAAAATCCAAAAATGATAGTTCAACTTTTGTCCAAAGATTAGTTTTATTGTGAATTTGTTTAATTTCAATAAAATCCTTGAGCAGTATATTTGGTAGTTGATTTGATGGTACTGTCAATAACAAATAATCGCTCACTATCAATTATTTAATAATTTAAGACACGAGTATTAATCATAAGCTTATTGGTAAAGATAAACTTTCACGATTAAATTACATCTGACTGTATGTTACAGAGGGTCCTGGAAGGTATTTACTTGTGAGCCCCAGTGGAATTTCACATGATGGGGAAGATTGTGATAAAGCAGGTGTTGGGTACTCGGCATTTGCAAGTCAGCCAGACAGATGCAACAAACCAGCAGGAAGCTGCCTGCTCAACCAACCTCTTGATTTTTGGCAGCATGATACTGTAAGTTGCTGTTTTTTTCTTGTTTATTTTTTTGTATATAGCAGCATTAATTATGGTTCTTAATTAGGTGATTTAAGTACATAATTATCAAAAATAACTATTTAAATAGTTGTGTAAGAAATTCCTATTGTATATTGAAATTTATCTTAATGATAGGGAATACTGACCGGAATTTCTTCATCAGTTTAATTTTCTCTAGATCATCCAATCTTAATAATTGTATTCTTACTAACTTAAATTTAATTTAAATTAACAGTATTCTTCAGTTTTGAAGTAATCTCATAATCAATATTCTTATTTTAAAAATAATCATATATTTAATAATAGATTAATCTTAAAAATATATGTATATATATAAACCTTGAACAAAATTTTATCTATTTATATCATTAACAGGATGCTCTTGCACACAATAAATCAGGAAATTATTTCCTGGATAATTTCGCTGCCGTGGAAGACAGCTCGGTTAAGGTTGCTGAAGGAAAGCAGTTTCTGACTGTTGGTTATTCAGGGCACTACACGAGCGTCGTTGAGATTGAAATGCGTATAGATGACAATATTGTTATCAGAAACGAGTAAGTACTCATTATTTTTTTTTTTTTATATTATCACATGATTGAAATAACACCAATACCGGGTGCAGACACGAATCATAACTTAACAACTTTATCAAATCAATTCTGAGCCAATTATTAAATTTACTGAGAGGAGACATTATTAAAAATCTATCCCTTAAAAACTTTATTAATAGTAATATTTCAATTTGTTTGACCTTTCCATTAAGAGAGTCACAATTTAGTAATTCAAAATTAATAATTAAGGTGTCCTGTGATCAATTTAGAGCCTAAAATTTTATAATAGATTTTTGGAACGGTAGATAATTATTGCCATCTGTTGGAAAATAATAGCAGGAACGTGGTCCATCTTTGCTCTAAAAATATAAAGCATTAACTATTATTAATCCTCAATTTTTTTTTTGTTTATACTTTTGAACTTAATCCAATTTAATTCTGAATGTCTCATATATTTTATCCCAATTTTCAAAAGAAGATAACATATGTAGATTTATAAAATAAAATATTATTTTATAGTTTTGGATAAATGTATATATTAGTCTGAATATGTATACAAATTTTTCTTTCAGTGCACAATTTCTGTAACAATTAGTAATACACTTTTTTTTCCTTTTGTTCTACATTATTAAGTTGTAAATTATGTAAAGAATACTTAAGGAAGTTAGCCTGACTGGTTATTAATTATAATAAAATTCTCGTTGATATTGATCTAATAGGCTGAAACTTTGGATATGAAAATAAAGAAAGTTAAGAAATAAGGATCAAATTAAAGTTTATTACTAATAAAAATAAATCATTAAACGACTACAAAATTGAAATATATTCTGTAATTATTTCAGAAGCCCGGCATTAATACATGAGGTTCTCATTGATTCCACTTGTGAACACCAGACAAAAATTACTATAAAAGTTACAAATGCTGGTTATGTATCTACCGCCTACAGACCGAAAATAACCAACTGCCCAGTAAATGTACCAAATATTTGGTACGATAACGAAGGTCCCCTAGTGTACATAGCGCCCTTCAGGGTCCATGTCTTCAGGGTTACCTTATATGGGACGTCAAGACCGTCAAGGTTTCATTGTTCAGGTAATTAAATGATTTTTCTCAATTCTCTTCCAATTAGATATGTAGTATGTTTATAGCATATATTTAGGATAATGAATATGCTTGTAATTGAATACATTGCCGCTGTATAAAATTTGAAAAATCATCGAAAGTTGGAATTTCGGTAGAGGACCCAAATTCGGTTTCGAAACGTTCTCGCGTCTTAGAATCTATTAATCTTAAGCAGTACGTGAACAAAATGAATCCGGAAGGGTCCTTAAGATTCATATTTCGGAAGCCGTCGCACTTTCTAACACGACCTCTGCAAAGTGCTCCAATGAGCGAAAATCAAATTTAGCAATTGGTTTAAAATTAAACACATTGATCAGATAGTTTGTGTCGTGGATTCTTTTATTATCGTAATTTTGTACTAAAATTGCCCAGGCTTGTCGATAACCTTCTGAAGTGGTCAAGATGGCCGCAATAGGCTGAAGCGCTGAACCCTTTAAAGCCGAGTTGAGGTAGTGAAATTTTTGAATTTCGGTCAACTGGTTATTATTGTGAATTAATGATGTAAATGTATCTTTGAATGATACCCATTTAGAAATTTGACCGTCAAAGGTGGGTAAATTTATTGTCGGTAATTTAATACGGGACTCGAACTCTTCAAGAATTTTCGCTAATGATTTAGCCTCCCTAATTAAACCTTGAAATTTATCATATATGCCGTCTAATTTAGACAGACGCGCCTTAAATAAATTTATTCTATTCGAATTTTTTAAACAATCGATACCGATATCTCTTGTTTCTGTTTTATCTTTGGCAAATTCCCCTAATTCATCTTCAAGGTCAGCCAGATGAACTTTATCTTTATCTATTTTGGGCCCCATTGCTTACCTGTGACCAGACCTATAGTAGAAAAAATATAAACATCACTCAAATTTAATATTTCAAAATAAATGTTTAAATCCGGCCCGGAGGATCAAAATTATGTTAGCTCCCTCTTAGTTTATGTCAAACTTCGAATGAAGCCTAACTATTTAATTATGATTTAATAAAGAAAAAGAAATAAAGTGGACTGTAAAGTGGTCTTCAAACATTTATTTTGGAACATTTACGAAATCTAATATTGAAAACATAAAAACAAAATGAATCAATTTTACACTTGTTGGATAAGTAAAAAATAACAAACTTCTAGCATAAAATAAAGACCAGCTGAACAAACAATTGTGACAATATTAATGAAACATTTTCATTCTTGATCATAAATAAAAACTATTTCTATGGCCCAAATTATAATAAAAATAAAATTAAAAAAAAACAACTTCTCTAAAGTCCCAATATGAAATATATATATATATATATATATATATATATATATATAATAATTAGATTATAATTAGATCGTATACATAATGTACAAATAATAATTAAACAACGTTTAATTAATTAAACAGTTAAAGTTAATTAAAGTTAATAATTAAACAACAAAACAAATAATTAGATCGTACAACGTTACGTGGACGAAGCAGGACGTTCGTAAACCTCTATCTCTATGCAGAAACCAATTGTAACTCTTCAATGAGTGTGCTCAAAACGAACTGCAAATGGGCAGCGGCGAGCACGACGAGAGAAGTACGTCTCTTCAGAGTAGAACTGCAGTGGGCAGTGTTGAAGTTGGCAGTACTCAGCTCAGTGGCGGACGGAGTCAGACTGTCTCTTGTCAATTCTACCGCCTTATAACTTGAACCTAGCACTTGTTTATAGCTAGTGCTACTACCATCCATAACAAAGTAGTCCAAGTATAGACTATTGATTTATTTAATATAAACAATATAAGCTATGGGCCTATAATACTTAATATACACCTATCTTATACATAAATATACATATTATTAACTGATTTCACTTTGCTAAAATAAAACAAATCAACAATTAATCAAACTAGTTAAGTGTAAAATAAATTGAATTAACGCTGTGGCGTTTTTAACTGTAAAAATAAAATAAGTTAACGCTGTGGCTTTAACAGGTACATTATGTATTAAAACGTATGTGAAGGCATCAGTAGACATCGAGAGTGGTGCTCTAGGCTCCATTCAGAGGGAAGCGCGAAATTACCAAAGTTCAAATAATCTGGCCATTATTTCACCTACTGGTAAAATAGTAGATTCAGTATTAAAATTATTTATGTATATACACGTCATACCATACAAAATCATATCCCAACATTTTTCTGTTAAAACTCATGGTTTTTACATTTATTGCAACCAGAAATCGGATAGAATATCGATCTCCGCGCGTTCCAAATGAGCGAAAGATGCTATTGCACAATTGCTGTAGCCATCTTAAGTTGTGAGCTATCTTTCAGCAAGCTAAAATTGATATTTTCGTATTTGAGGGCTACAAGGGCCAAGAAAGGTAATACGACCTAGCTTTGCTCAGTATAGAGCGAGAAGAAACATATAAAACTCATTTCCAAAACAAAGGCCTAAGGCCAGGGAGGTACAATTGCAAGTGTAACGGTTTTAAAAACTTACTTTTGTTATAAAATATAAATTAAATATGTTTTGTAAGGTTATGACTTTTTTTAGTGTATCTATTTTCCATACTATGATAATTTACGATGGGGCGCAATTTTGATACCCTATGCGCCTTTTTCGATTGATACGCTTCTGCAAGGTATGTATTGTTACATTTTCGTTTAAAACTTGATTCGATGTAACATAGGCACATGCATTAGGCAAGGAACTTTTTTCCCACTCTGTATTTTTTGAAAGGACCTGGCCCAATATTTCAGAGTCGTTTACTTAAAATAACTCCCAAAAAGTTAAATTAACCATAAGAGTAATAATTATATTACATTAATTATATATTACAGGTAGTAAACATTTTACTTAGCTACTCTATTTTACTTAGCTGTTTACTGGCGTTTTATCTCGTCTCCCCCCTCCCATACATTGAGCACTGTTAGCACGTTACACTAACTTTACCCCCTCCCTTTCCAATATTTTCCAAACAATAATAAAATGTCCTATGAGAGATAAAACCCTTCAAAAACAAAATGAGTTACTGTTATTGATTATAATATTAATCAGGCGGTATGAGCTTATTATGACCCTTGAACACAATCAAGATACCGGCTTATACATTTCTACTCCTTTATCACTAATACTTATCTTCTTAGTTGTGACAAAATGTAATATAACTGAATAAAAAAGATATGTCCATTAATTTGTAAACATAGTTAAAAAGGCATATGTTCTTGTGGCACTTCTCTATTTATAATTTGAAAAGCTGGTATTTTTATTTAAAAGGAAAGAAAATAATTTAGTATTTAACCAAAAAGATATTTACCAATTGTATTCATACTACAGATCTTATTTGTTTTACAGTCGAGATTATGAATAATCGAAGTGAAACCTTAGCGGTAAGGAGAATACGAATTCAGAAATATGACCGCTGTTTTTGCGTCTGGCATTGTCTTTGTAGTTGCGCCGCCTCTTCACAAAAGTTTGGCTGTCATCCAATGTCAATTGACCATTACCATGCCGCAGGTTTTGTGGGAAGCGTGCCCGAAACAGATGTCTTAGTAAGCAAACAGATATCGAAGACACATTATAGAGAAAACTTTGCTCGTGCTGTGGTTGTCGCCTTCTATATCTACATAATACTGATATTTTTCGGTACGTAACTGTTGAATAAGTTGATAAGTCAATATTAAAATGATTTTTTTTAATTAATTTTTTTCCAGGGTTGATCAAGGCAATTTATGGGAGCTTGTGTTATCGGCGGTTAGCTCTGATGCACTTGCACATGTTGTGCCCTCGCTTTTACCAATCAGCTAGGCTAATGCCTGCGGTATGTCCTTGTAGAAGGGAAGTAATAAGACCAAACAGCGCTTGTTCAGTTTCCTCTGATGGAAGTGAAGTAGCAGATCCACAAAGTAAAAGACCAGCAACTGTTCTGTAAGTATATTCTGATTTTCACTGTTTACGATTATAATAATACGAGTATAGCCATCTAGGTTTCATAGTTTTAAATTGTTTACTTGATTATTGAACATCATAATTTTAAAAAAACGTACAATCATGTATATGAATTCAACCATGGATTGAATTTAACTATTATTTTTCTCTGCAAGTGAATAAAATTCATGATGTGACATTTACGTTTTCGGAGATTTAGTTTCTGAAATCAAGATAGATTTCAAGATTGCTCGATCGCGTATCGGTTTTCATCGATATAAGAATCAATTCTAATGTTTTCACAGGCCTAGTATTTCATAAAATAGTATCGATTTTAATATTGCGCCTTACTATATCGATATCTTTAAAATCTTGGATTTCTTCCATGTAAGGGTCTATATTATTATGTTATTAGAGCCATAGATGTTGAAAATAATGTTGATATTAAAAGTGCGCCATTGCATATCGATTTACGTTAACTACCCAATTTATTCGATCTAAGGATCTAAGGCAGTTTTTAGAAATAATATAGATTTTAAGACTGCAATATCGCTTACCGATTTATTTCAGCTTTTAAATTTTTTTTATATAAGCGTCCATTCTTATGTCTTTAGAGACATCGTTTGGAAAATATAGATATTAAATATTGTGCCATCGCATGTCGCTTTGTTTCAACATCATTATTATAAAACAGTTATAATATAATAAATAACATTATTATATAAATTATTATTAATGAAATTTGAAAATAGAAAAAAAACAGAAATATTAAAATAAATCAACACGGGATGTCGCAACCTTAAAATCGGCATTATTTTTAAATACTACGCTTCCGAAAACATAGTAATGGACTTTCATATCGAAGAAATTTCCATAACTAAAAGGAATCAGTACGTGATGGTGTAATCTTAAAATCAATATTATTTTCACATACTAGGCCTACTTTAACATATAATGAACCCTTATATAGAAGATGTCTGAAAGTTAAAGAAAATATACTTGATGCCACAATCTTTAGATCGATGTCTACCAGTTCGCAATATGAAGTTTTATAGCCAGGAAAAATCAGTAATTAGCCGGGATTTACAGTGAATTTCGGGAAAATGTTCATGACTACTCGAATCAGTGTATATATTCCTTCAATTTCAACTGTGGGATAGCTATCTTCAGCCATAAAAGAAATAAAAGAGACTTCTTGTAAGACAGTTTAGCCATCGTTGTTCAACAGTTCCAAGATATTATCTCAGACTTACGCGATTTTTTTTTAATTTTTTAAATTTATTCATTGTAACTTTTATTAATCCACTGGTTTCAGTTTGTTATTTTCAATAAGAAACCTTTTTAATCTACTAAGAAAAGAAAAATTAATTAAGTCTCCTCCTTTAAAACTTCAAAAGGTTTGATTTTTCTATTTTGCCCTGCAACAGACCTTATGCCAGGATTAGTAATAGTTTGTGGTACAGACCCCTTTTTATAAAATTATTAACATCCACCTAAAACTTCGAGTATAGCTTCATCAAACTGTAACCTACAACCTTTTTTATTTACGAAATCCAGGAATCTGAAGATCTGAAGGATCTGAAGATCGGCAAACTGTATCTATTTAATTAGGTACTGAAAACTCATAAAAACCCACTACACTAGCTTTCCAGTTGAATCGCAAGATTTTTTTTTTTTTTTTTTTTTTTTTTTTTTCCTACGCCTAAGTAATGCCTGCTTCGTTAGCCATGCGTGCTCTTGCAGTCTAGTACAACTTTGTTCTCCGTGTATAATAGCTGTCCATTTCATTAAAGCAACATCTTATGTCCTGTAATGCAGGGCATGTATCCAGATGTTCTCCTGTCATTATGTCTAAGGAACATAGAGGGCATGTCGGGCTATCTTTTACACCGATGCGGTGGAGGTGCTTCTGAAGGAAATCGTGGCCTGTCAGCATTCTAAAGCCCTCTAGGGAGGTCTCTAGGAATCCTGCCACTTTCTTCCAGCAATCCACTCCATTGTTTCCCTTCAATTATTTGTACATGTTTCGCTTTCAGTGGACTTTGGAGGGTCTGCTTTATGATTCTTTTTGTTGAATCCATGGTCAGAGGAATATCGGGTTGGATCATTCCAGAACCTATTCTGGCCAGTTTATCGGCTTCATCATTTCCGTGGAGCCCGCAATGGCCTGGTATCCACTGGAAAGCGACTTCTGTCCCATTTTCCTTTAATTGGTTCAAATATTGATGGCATTTAGGAACATTTGGATTTATACTATATCCATTTTTTAGGGACAAAATGGCTGCCTGTGAGTCAACAAAGAAAGCCACTTTCTTGTCTTTCCGTTCAGTTAACATCTCAAGGCCTAAGAGAATAGCTTTCACTTCCCCTTCAAAGTTTGTGGCTACCTTTCCGACCGGGGCGGCAAGTTGAAACTCCTTTAAATAAACACCAGCTCCTGCATGTTTGGGTGCTTCCAGTGCAGAACCATCTGTATATACATGGAGCCATTCTGTCTCTGGAAATCGTTTTCCGATGGTTTCTAGGGTTATAGCCTTTTGTTCGTAAATTGGTGTTGTATCCTTAGAAACATTCTGAAGAAGATCACAGTGAACAACAAATTGGCTGGTGAATGGAACTTTTGTCAATGACGGGAGTGGCTCCCTTTCAGCTAATTCTAGTCCTTTTCTTTCTATCAAATCTTCCACTGCCTTAGTAAAAGTAATTTGAGTTTTAAGGCGTTCAGGTGCGGGTTCATAGGTACTCCAGTAGTTGATCTTAAGACGTTTTAGCCTTTCATAGAGCGTAATGGCCAGTTGCTCCCGGTGTGTCTCAAGAGGTACTATGCCTGTTTGTAATTCTAGCGCAGATATTGCGGTTGATCTGCTCCCTCCTGTCACGAGTCTAAGGGCTTGATTCTGGATTATGTCGAGCTTGTGTAATATCGCGTCCGAAGCAGTGATAACAAGTTCTGCTCCATATTCAATAACAGGGCGGACATATGTCTTGTAGGTAAGAGCCATAACATCCCCCGTTGCTCCCCATTTTGAGCCACCTAACCTCTGTATTAACGAAAGTCGTTTTGAAGCCTGTTCTATTTGTTTTTCAATGTGCTTATTCCAAGAGAGTCTTTTATCCAATTTCACTCCAAGATATGTAGCTTCTTCTGTGCGTTTGAGCTCTTCGTTATTATGGTTCAAATTGATATGGTGTGATTTGGTAGAGAGGGTAAAAAGTTGGAATTCCGTCTTTTCAGAATTAACGATCATCTCGTTTTCATTGGCCCACTTCTCTAGTAATTTAAGTACATGTTGCATGTGATTTTCTAGCCCTTTAAAGTCACTACTTGTTGCCCAAATGACGAGGTCATCTGCGTACAGCAGGGCATTTGTAACCGGAATAGTTTCAGTGAGTTCCGTGATATCATTAATCATGATGTTAAACAGGAAGGGACTCAGCACCGAGCCTTGTGGGAGGCCTTGTTTTGTTTGGCGATATGTCGAGACAACGTTTTTATATCGCACCCTTATAAACCTTTGATGTAAGAAAGAAGATATAGTCTTGAGCAGATATCCTGTGACTCCCTTGTCAACAAGCTTACTCACTAGCTTCTTTCTCCAAACTCTATCATATGCCGTCTTAAAATCTACGAATATTGCTAGGGTGCTCTGTTTTCTTTGGAAGCCGTTTTTTATTTCTTGTGTTAGACGAGCTACTTGTTCAATTGTGTTTCGATTTTTCTTGAAGCCAGCTTGTTTAGAAGATATTAGATCATATTTCTCTATGCATTTCTCAAGTCTTTCTGCAACGATTCTCTCGTAGAGCTTGGAGAAAGTACTTGTTAATGCAATGGGTCTGAAATTTTCCGGCATGTCTCCTTTTTTTCCTCTCTTCAAGATTGGTACCACTTCTGCTTTCCTCCATTCACACGGAATATGTGTTTTCCAGACATCATTTAAAAATTTTAGTACTGTTTCTTTGGCCATATCCCCCAGGTGTATAAGAAATTCCGACAGTATGTCATCTGGGCCTGCGGTTTTACCTTTCTTAGATTTAGTAAGAGCATCATTTAGTTCTTGCGTTTGGATATCTCCCCAGAATAGTGTATAATCTTCTTCACTCATTACACAACAATGTGTGGAGTTTGTGACTGGATTTCCGTTTTCTTTTTTTGGCTTGTAATTGCTTACTTTTGAATAGTGTTTGCAGAAGGAGTTAGCTATTTCTTTTAGCTTGCTTATTGTTTTCCCATCGAAAGTTATTGGATGGTTTGCTAAGTTTGATTTATTATTTATTTTTGAAAGAAATTCATGTGCCTTAACTCCATCTTTTCTAAAGTCCATTTTCTGTAGGAACGTTCTAAATGAGTTTTGTTTAGCTGAAATAACTTTTCTTTTAAATATAGCTGTTTTCCTTTTAAGTAAACTTATAATTGCATGATTTTTGGAGCTCTCAGCTCTTTTTCTAAAATCATCTCTTTCTTCTTTTAGCTTTTGCAGTTCTTCATTCCAGAAAGGACGATATTTTCGTACCGTTCCTCGGGGAATAGTCTTCAGGGCACACCTATATAAATTTCCTTTTATATTAGTATATGTTTTATCTACGTTGCCGTTTATGATTAATTTATCAGTGATGAGTTCATCTGTCAATTTTCTGAAAAGCTTCCAGTCTCCTTTCTTTAAATTCCATCGTGGCAGTTGCGGTTCTTTGGTCTTGCTATTATTATTTTGATTCAGGTTAAAGTTAACCACAAGGATATTGTGTCCGAAACCTTCTATAGCTGGTAGTAGGGTATGTTTTATGTTATCAGAGATTGAGGTGTGCGCCAATACAACATCAGGGCAGGAAGTACTGCCAGTGAAAGAAAGAAAGGTTGGACGTTTTGTCTCATTTCGAATATATTGTGCAGGGTTTGAGTTAAGGAAATCTTCAAATATTCTGCCTACAGTATCAGTGTTATTTTATCCCCATATAGTGGAAGGGGCATTCAGGTCTCCATATAGTATACTCTCTCCATTCCAGTTCCTTTCCAACCATGTGAGGTCCGGTCTGTTTTGAGGAGGGTTATACATTACGAATATTCGGAAGTGCCGTTTGCCATACCACAAATTTGCTTCCAGAGCCTCGGATTTATCACTTGCATCTTGCCGTTTCCTAATTTTCATATCCGTAACGATGGATGCTTTAACAGCTAGCATAATACCAGATGCAACTTGTCTTGCTCTTGGGAGGAAATATGTTTGGTATCAGTGAATTCGGTGCATCTCAGGTTTTTCAGTTGCCGCTCCTGCTTCGACGATCGCACATAAGTCTACATCACTTTCTGTCACTATACGTTTCAATTCGGTGAATTTATCTTTGGTTAATCCGCCTGCGTTCCAAAAGATTGCTTTGAGTTGAGCCTTGCCTAAGTCTTTAGAAAGCTTGCGAGCATTTGGCCGTTTTTGATAGGGCCTTGGCATGTTTTGCTTTGTATATTGGACTGAGTTGGCGATAAATGTGATCGTTTACTTACCGTGTTTACGGATTATCCAGGGGGCACGTGGACTAACCGTCCGGACGCGATCACTTCACCCTTTAAATAGTTTTTATTTTATTTTATAAAAATAAAACTATCTATTTTATGCTTTTAGATTAACGGCAAGATAATTTGATCATAAAATCGATAATAAAGGCAGCCCAAAAAATTGGGTCGTTATGCGTGATTTCCATCCCCAACATATCAAAATAACGAGGTTATATAAGCCAAACGGCCCAATATTTTTATAGACCATCTTATTTTTTTCGATTTTGTAATAAAATCATCTTCCTTTTTTATATTTATTTATTGAGTATTACAGCAATCTGTCTCTTGGACAATCTTAAGTTTAAGTGGAAAGAAAATGGGTATTTATGACATTTTAGTATCTCATTAAATTAATAATTTAAGGAGAAAATGTTCTATTTCTAAGAATTTTCGTAGATATTTTTTTTTCATCTCTCTCGGCGGCCCAAGACTTCCATTGTAGTCCTATATTGCAGATAAAAAAATTGTGATCTACGATAAGGTGAAGCCATTCATAAAGTTTTAGGCGGGTGTGAATAATTTGATGAAAAGGAGTCTGTACCACGGAATATAGATAGTTTCACATCATTAAATTAATAAATATCAAGCAAGATAAATAAATAAAAATATGATTTGTTTTATGATCTTCACTTGAAAAAGTCATTAAAAAATGAGTGTATGATTAGATAATGAGCCGAAATCGGCATTGTCAGGAATCAAACTTGATTTAATTGAAAAGTAGGATTTAAGTTTCTTCTAATCACTTGCTGTTACATAACGGACAGATATACAGGGTGCGCCAAGCTAACTTCGCTATTTCATGGCAAGTTATGAAAAAAAAGAAGCTTGTTCTATAAATGACACTTCAGTTATGAAATGAGTTTTATAGGAGAAACAACTTATGCAATTAATGTTGTAATAACTTAATAGATTTCAGTGTTTGGCCCAAGAGATTGCTCTACTTGGGAAGGACTTCAAAGATCGGGAATTAATAAGATATATAATTGAAACTTTTTCCCATTATTATGAACATGTTGCAAATCCTTTCTTAGCCAACAGGAATATTGAATTCAGTGAAATGAAACAAATGCTATAGTCACTTGAACGGAGAGGTGTACGAAATAGAAGCGATCAAGTGTTTCAAACTCTCTTAAACGAACAACCTTAAACTCCGAAGTATGTTACATATGCAAGAAACCAGGATACTTAAAGAAGGACTGCTGGTGTAATAAAGATCAAAATAATGAATCGGTTTCTTTTTACACCTCATTTCTCAAAATCCTTCGCAGGTGAGTGATGAAAAAGATGCCGCTCCTTACTCCAATCCAATTCATGATGAAGACCATCAAGGCCATTGAGCTTTAGGATTCCCTCACATAAATGAGAATACTGACGCACGCCTGGGGCTCTCTATCAGCAGACAGCAGACTCTAAAAAAGAATACATCAGTTGAATAGACACCCATATTGTTGTAATATAGAAAATTACACAAAACTTCATTACCAATTCCTAGGCAATGGGAGAGTACCGGTTTAGAGCGAAGTAAGTGATCGACATTAAAACTGTTAGTAATCAGTGGGCGAGTAATTTGATGCTCTACAATATTTATCATATGAATTTGTCCTCATAGAAAACTCATTTCCACGCTGAAAGGCCATTTACAGTAATTTTTCCAAGTTTTTGTCATATTTGGTAATTTTTTTAATCAATATATAAACGTTAAAGAAATAAAAACATTTTCCACATTGATCACAATATATTTCCCGTTTCGATCCTCGCTGCTGGTATAATATTATTTAAATCAGGCGCCATTTTTTAAAGCAGCGACTATGGAATGGCAAATAAGGTTCATTTTACTTAGAATAATATATACTTTCGTAATTTACATTCAAACCTTTACGTCTGTGACGAAGTCCATTTTTGAGCCCTGGCTCCAGCACTACGGTGCTCCTTACTCTAATTCATGATGACGAATGAACCGCAAGGCCATGCAGATTTAGGGTTCACTCTCCCAAATGAGACCACGCAAATCCACCTGGAGCTCCCTTTCAGAGCGCACATTTCAAGAAAGGAAGTTAGATTGTCATACCCTTTATAACATTAAGTATATTTCTTTGTGAAACTCATTTTTATGATATGTGAACCATCAAAAACCTATTTATGATTCTAGGATGCTGGAATTTTTTTATAACACGATATGCTACGTTTGCATCATAGGCCTGTACATATTTATAGCATTGGTAAAATCTATGAAATGCTGCATATTTCTCTGTATACCCGAGAGAAGAAAGGATCGTAGAACATTGTACGACACGAGGGTAAATATTATTCTTTTAATTATTTCTATTTTAGTTAGTTATTAATTAAATTTAATCTAAAAACTTTAATTTTATCTAAAAAATTTCTATCAGAGCATCTGCTTGTCTTCTCTTCCTCGGAAGAAAATTTGAAAGTCTTTATATACCCACTCTTAAACCCATCCTTTCCAATGCAAACCTTTCTCAGTTCTTTCCAAGAAAATAAGGGAGTATGGGAGGGTAAACACCTTGATTCTCAGTAATAGCAAATTGGTTCTTGTTTGGATTGTTGAAGGTTATTGAACAATTACATTTATAATATTGGATAGTAGGCAGTTTCAAAATGGATGATCAGATGGCGGAATCAGCTCATGCAATCTATACATTCATTGGTTTTTCATCTGGTGAGACCCATGTTTCTAAATGGATAGTTTTATGTTAAAAGACTCTAATTGTGACTTTTAACTTCTTTGTACCTCTTATCATAGATCCCACTCCATTTCTCGAGCTCTCTCTTTCCAATTATAGTATTGACAATTTCTATTGTAAAGTTGACATCCTATTTTGGGATCTTATCAAAGGTTATTCCTCATCGCCCAATAAAACCTTCTTTATCTCATCTATCTTATCTTCTGTAGGTATGTATACACTAATTACAGATTTCTTAAAAATCTTTCCTTTCAATCCTAAAACGCATATTATTTTAATGATTGCCTTATAGGCCAAAATAACATATTTTATATTTTTTTCTAACCATGATAAAAGCCAGTTCCCACCAGATGTTCCACATATCGACTATTGATAAGGATATATATATATATATATATATATATATATATATATATATATATATATAGAGAGAGAGAGAGAGAGAGAATAAAGTTGATTCTTTTATTCTATTCTCTCTCTCTCTCTCTCTCTCTCTATATATATATATATATATATATATATATATATATATATATATATATATATATATATGGGTGTGTGTGTGTGTGTTTAGATCCATTAAAGTTGGTTCTTTTTTCCACTTGATTTCCTACAGGGTCACATCAATCTTACTAGTCCACTTTGACAATCATCTGAAATCTGTATCTTTCCTCTTTGCAGGGGGCTATGTATAATCCAAATTCCTTTGGAATTTGACAATCACATAATTCTTTTCTTGTTTATTGTCATTTTCAGTCTGAATCTGAGGTTATTTAAGATCACTAGTTAGTGTATGGTTATTGGCCACAAAATATAACCCTTTTATTACTGATAACCCCGAGATAGGATAACCCTCAGGTTTATCTGTTCTCAGTTATTCTGTCATCAGAGGTCTTTAAAATTTTTTTCATTAAAATTAAATAATGAAAATAAACTCGAGACATTTAATGCTGCTTGTGTGAGATAGATGGTGTGCCTTTGTGGTTTCCCTAACTATTGTGGAACACCATAGCATCTCTTCATAGGATGGTTTCATTACATATAACTGGATATGGGTTGCGGCTTTAGGAATTGAGCAACCCAAGTTACAACCATTTTTTCCTATTGTCAAAAAATATTGTAAAATCTCTTACATTTTACAAATAATAATAATATAACCTCGGAAGATCACTTTATACCGTTGTGATACTTTCAAAATAAATAAGAGATTGTTAAATAAAAAACAATATTAATATAATAAACTGAAATTTACAATTACTCTATCTCAGGTATGGTTTATTGACAATCAGATCAACTCAGACAAACTATTATTATTTACACTAAAATTAAACATTGATTTTAAAGTAAAGTCAAGGATTAATTGGCAAGTTAACTTTTTTTCTTTAAAGATTGTTTCTTTCTTTGTATCACTGAATTCATTTGTCTTTTATCATTTTCTTATGTTCTGCCCAACACATATCCCAAAATGGTAACACTATTCCTCTACTCAACTCAAGCTCCCTGGGAGATACTCTCTCTTGTAATTCCAAACAATTAGTCTCTGCCAAACAACAACTTTCAAGATGGTAATACTGGGTTAATAAAAACTTTAATAAAAACTGGGTTTTTCCCACTGGAGCCAGGATCACTTCTCCTATCCTCTCTTCACTGCAGCCACACAACTGCTTGCCATAACAAAAATCTTTGTCCCTCTCCTCTTTGGGATTTTCCTTCTTGGGAAACTACTGAGAAGCCATTTTCTTTTCCCTGCATTAGTAGAACTAGATTAGCTTGCCTTATAATTGTTCAACATTAATTTATTAGACCCTTTTTACTCACTTCCAATAAAGGTGTACATTACAATATATACAACAATAGCACAAAAAAAAAATAAAAGAAGAACAAGTAAATCTTTATCAAGTACATTAAGAATCTCATGTGAAAATTAATATTAATATAATATTGTAATATAAAACTCTATTCTACCAGGAAAGAAAGGCTCATACAGGGTTTATTCTTGGTTGTAGTAAGAATTTTCAGGCAGCATTTGACCAAATGCCATCCTTCCTCTGAAAATACAACAACACAACAATAAAGGATATAACTCAGGAATAACATCTTCATACAAATAAATAAAAACACTTGGAGAATACTTTCATGCAAACTGGACTCTGTATATTTACAAGTTTAGACATTAGTCTATTTGTTGTGATACTAACATCATTATTTGTTCTTGAAGGGTCTTTGATTTTAGGAAAGTTAGTTACTGTATCGCTTAAAATGTAGCGTCAGAGTGGCTATAAATTAAAATATTAATAGATGACAAATTTAAATTATAAAAAAGTTATTAGGATGTTGTTCTTTTTTTCCTGCTTTTTAAAACTGAACTGAAGATTTTAATTATATTTAGCCATAATATAATTTCAACAATGATACATCCATAATAAAAATTTTTGCTCTCCCGATAGTAAATTATTAAGGCCTATTTGCTCAATAATACCCTTGAGTCAAGCATCAAAATATACAAAAAAAATCAAAGTAAGAATAGATAAACAAATAATAATAACATTAAGTCAAAATAGTGTTCCAAAACAAAAATAAAAAATATATAAACATTGCTTAATTCTAAAGTAAAATATTTAATCAATTATTAAAATGATTTTTTTTTTCATATAGAGTTTCGAATCACAATTTTCCGATGTGATAGAAGAACATGAAAGAAGAGGAACTCTTAGTACAGAAGAATTCTTTCGGAAATGTGAGGTAATCAATTTCTAATATTATATGTGTATACATACATCCTCATCTAGAAAAATACAGACACATCCTTCAAAAAATCACCTATTTGTTTTTCTGTGTAATTTTACTTACATTTTGATAAATTATACTCATATATATATATAAGGAAGAAGTTAACTCTGTTTATGAGGCTCTAGGTTTAGAAGTTCTTTAAGTTCTTTAGTTAAATAGTCCCTCCATAGTATCCCAAATACAATTCACACACTAGTCTCCTGAACTTAACTCCATGTATCTTGAACAAACATTTCGAACGAAATGAGGAAGAGGATCAGGAATCATAACTTAAAGAATAAAAATGAACATAAAGATGGGGTTACATTAGTATGGAATATTATTGAGCTGGAAATGACTAAAAAATCTGTAGGAACCATCAATTGGTACTAAAACATACTTTTAAGGGGGAAGAGGGGATTAGGGGGGAAACAAGCTTAATTTTTAACTCCTTCCATTCCCCTAGTCAAATAATCAACAGTTTTATCCCAGTATTTTGTACAATACTTTTAGTAATCAATATCATCATCTCTTAGCATTAACTAATTTTATTGAATCAATATTTTTTACTCAACTGAAACCTAAATTATGTGCCTCCTCGCAGCCACTACTCCACTCTATTCTAGCCCTGCCACAAAAAGTGCTTAACAGTGGTTCTCAAAGAAAAAAGGAGCCAACATAAATTATTAAATATTGTAAACGTTTTTATTTTGGCCACTGTATGAAGATTTTCTTATATTAAACCAGTAGCTTTTATTTGTTTAGTTAAATTGGACATCAAACATGTTTAAATGAATGTAACAGTATAAATAAGATAATGCATAGTATAAATGTAACTGTGTAAATTGGCCATTGAATGTAATATTGATTGGTAATGTTGAATTTTTCAGGCAATAAAGAATAAACATATGCCATATATGCTCCGAAATAGAAACAAAAGGACTAGGAAGGTAATTATTAATATTAAATATGACTATATAAATAGGAATAGATATAGAAAAAGTAAAATAGACAATAAACTTTATTCTGGGACGAAGTCCCCTTAGAATAACAATAATGAACAATTACAAAAATAAAAATACATATCTGGCCTAAAACTAACTTAATAAAGATTCAAACAATATATACAATAATTTAAATTATAGTATGTAAACAACTAAAAAATAAAATAAAATCTTCTCAACAATACTTATAGTTAAAGAAGCGAAGAATAGTTGGGGTGCTCAGTCAAAAAGGAAGGCAAAAAATAAATTATAATATTTATTTCTTACATATTATAATTTATTACAAAATATTATAACTTACAAAATATTATAATTTATTTTTTGCCTTCCTTTTTGACTGAGCATCCCAACTATTCTTCTCTTCATTATCCATGACAGTCAACCAATTACCAATTATGAATACTTATAGTTGTACTGGAAAAAAAAAAATTGCATATATAGAAAAAAAATACATATATAGAAAGAAAAAACAAATCCTCCAGAAAAGAAAGAATATCAAAAGTAACTAAAGACAAAGTATTTACTATATATATTAAAACATAAATAATATATTCATAACTTAAAGATATATTAATGACAGAAGATGAGAAACGGGATTACACTATTGCATTCTCGTGACATCAGAGAAATAAAATAAGAATAAGTAAATTAATACAATTGGAAAGGGGCATTAAATTAATTTTATGAGGAAACCGTTGCAGGAATAATAAGAAAAAAATAAATTATTTCTATATTTTACTTAGGAACTTAAAATGAAAACTCGCAATGGTATTGTAAACTATATATAAAAACGGATATTAAGATGAGAAAAAATGTACATATATACAAATTGAGGTATGTAAAAAATGAAATACATTTCAAATATATAAAATCTTATACATCGCCAAAAAAATGGATAAAAACAACAAACAATTTCTTATTTTTTTCTTCATCACAGTGCTATGTCAAAAGTGTTACTGAATCGTTTCCAATCCATAAATAATAAACAAAAAAATAAAATAGTAGTCTATGAAAATAAAAATATAACATAAATCATCCTTGTTACATAATACATAATTGACAAACGACTGGTTGGATTGTGAAGAGGAATTGGAATAAGAGGGTTTTGAATGTGGATGAAGATGGTACATGGCGGATTTTAAGCGGAATGAAATTCCAAAAAGTGGTGGAACGGACAATAAAGGAGCGTTGAAATGAAGCAGATCTATGGAAAGAGATGTGAAGGTCAGAAGGACGAGATCTTGTGGAGAGGGAGTGGATAGATGATTTATATTGGAAATGGAAGAGATTGCATACATAGGACTGGCGATGATTGTTGAGTATTTGGCAAAAGAATGTGACAAGGAAGTATTGTCTTCTGTAGGAGGGAAAGAGCCATGACAACTCGGCGTAGTAGTCGGAAACACGAGAAAGTCTCAGGGTCCCTTTGACAAATCTTAAATGGCTATTTATAATTCTTTTTAGTCTGTCCCCGAATTCCACCGAGAGGCCACCGTAAACCACGCAGCCGTAGACAATGCGGGGGATGATGAGAGAGGATACTAGGAGTTTACGTGCGGGTAATGGTAGGAGATGGCGGGAGCGATGGAATAGTTTAAGGGAACTAAGTTACAGGCGAGAGATGTAGGCAATATGATGATTCCAGGAGAGGGTTTGGTCAATGAAAATGCCTAAATTTTTAAGCTGAAGGTGATGGGAAAGTCATTTAGGTACAGAATAGGAATGTTGGTATTGGCTTTGAGGAGGGATTTGGAACCAATGACAATGACCTGAGTTTTATCAGCGTTTAATCTTAATCCATTTAGGTATTTCCGGCGCCGATGCGATTTAGATATTCTTGTTTTTGGCAAACGTATCAAACAACTCACGAGAAGGGAAGGAAAGGTAAATTTGGGAATCGTCGGCATAAAGGTGATGGAAAGAGTGAAGGATTGATTTATGAAGATCATTAATATATGAACTAAAAAGGAGAGGAGATATGATATAGCTCTGTGCCACTCCAGAGGACAGAGTTACATAGGAAGATAAAGGTTGGTTAGAGATACCGACGGCTTGTGAACGTTGAAAGAGGAAAGATCGAAAGCAAATTATAGCGCTGTTGGAAAAAGATAATCATTTTAATTTGGAAAAGAGGTTGGAATGGTTAATGGTATCAAAGGCTTTGGAAAAGTGCAAGGACAGTTAGTTTTTTATCATTTATAGCGGACTGAATGTCATTAATGATTTTAATTATGGCGGATTATGTGGAATAACCTGTTCGAAAATAGATTGGTATTCGTGTTGATTGGAATATTCAAGGAAATTGGAAACTTGGGATTGCATTATTCTTTCCATAGGTTTTGAAAGGTCGGAAAGGATTGAAATTGGGCAGAAATCTTTGGGGGAAGAAGGTTTAGAATTTTAATTTAAAGGACAACCAGTGACTTTCTTCCACGAGGTAGGAAATACTGAATTTTAGAGGGAGAAATAATATATGAAAAGGAGAACAGAAAGGATTTCAGGCAAGCATAGTTTGATTAATTGGTAGGAATGTCATCTGGACCAATTGGAAGAATTGGAATATGATTTCATCACGGAGGATATGAGGTCTGAGGGCAAGATGAATGAAAAGTTAAAGTCGTATTCGTTGAAAGATGTACCAGAAGAAAAGAAGGGAGAGGTAAAGGGATGAGTGGAAGAGGAAGCAAATCTATATTATATGAGTTTAAATCATCTGGTGAAACAGAAAAGCTTGCTGAGGGAGGGGATCTGGAAGGTTTACAGAGGGAGAGTTTACGAAGGAGTAGCCATTTGCATTTGGAATCTGTAGCTGATGGACTGGGCTTCATGGAAATACGTCGATTTGGCTCGTCGGATTCTGATTTGTGTCAGGTTGCGGAGCTTGCTACATGTATTTTGTGTTTCTTTTATAAACCTTAGTCCTATTTTTAATTTTGGAACATTTTTTTCTTCTAAATTATTTGTTTTTCTGAAAAACGAGTAGTTTAGAATCTTTTTTATTATTATTATTTTTTTTTATTTGAAAATTAATAAATTTTGTCGCATTGGAGAGCATTAATATTAGGGTTACATTAAACATTCACACAATATATACAAACAAATGATAACTAAAATAGAAATAAAAGAAGAAGAGTTTAACATACATAGGTAATAAATAAAAATAAATAAAACAAGAGAGAGAGAAAAAAAATAGAGAAAATTAAATTTAATTAAATTTATATATTTCAATTAAATGAAATTGAAATATATAAAACACATTCATACCTATATACAGTTTAGAATCAGAAATCAAAGTTAACATTAGTAAAAATGGTTTATTGAAACAATTTATAATATTACAACACAAAACATTTAATTTATTATATAATAAAAGAGCTATTTTTTTTAATTATACGGAATATTGAAAAAAAATATATGATCATTTCAATAATTCACCTACTAAATCAAAGAAAGAAATACAAAACCAAGAAGGTTATAAGAGATTTGACAAATCGTTATAGTAAATGTATTAATGAGACACCAAGACAAATTATAAAATTTTATTTTCATAGAATGTATATGACATTGTTTAATTCTTAATACGCATTGAACATATACCATTCCAAAATTATGATTAATCATTTTTTTACTTATTTAAAAAAAGTTGTTTAATAACAAAACAGTTCTGTTGTAAGCTTCTACTTATTTTAACTATTAATAAATGATATTAAATTATGACAAAATACAGAAACATGTTCTTAACTTTTTTTATAAAAAGTGTGCTCTCCTCATGAAATAAGTGTCATTAGATATAAGACAAAGAGTTGTGTACAAATAATAACTCTACAGGTGTAGTACTTCCAATAATATATTTAATGATTTATGAGTGATAATATTGCATAATTCATTGATTTAAATTTGTGTGGTAGGAATTGCTTGATGAAATCCGGGAAGAATTTCTGGACATATACCGGAATGCAGATATCTACCCAAACACCAAGCCAAAGCAATTCCCTTCCTATGATAAGGAAATGGGAGCTAATCAAAGTACTTTCTCGGCGCCTCATTATCTTTACGCTAAAAAAACAAAAAAAAGCATAAACGTTACGGAGTTCCAATCAGTCATTGCAAATACTGTTCATAAAGCTGAGGTAAGTACATTCAAATTTACTTTTTTATCTTAATGTTGTTATAGGCATCATGATTGTATTTTTTCATTTCAAACTAATTTAATTTTACTTTAAAATAACCAACTCTAAGGTACTGCTCAAAGTCATACAACGTAACCTCGACGCACAATTTAACGTTTTTTTAATTTCTTAAAGAATACGTTTTCCGCTTCTATGCACTGTTTAGTAGTAATAGATGGAAAAAAAGATCAGATAAATCTGGCTTTTTTGGCTGTAAAAAGTTTTCTCTGACCCGTGTTAGCAATTTTGTTTTTTAAATGTCTAAACCTATATACAGGGTGTACCGTAAGTAGAAGAAAATATTTAAAGGATTGATAGCAGAACTGAAGAACTGCAAAAGAATGTATATAAAGAATGGTTCGATTTTCAACAGGACAGTAAGAAATTAAAGTTTTGTGATTTTTTAAGTAAGTCACATTTTTTGTTGAATAGGATGAGATAACTAAAAAACTATTTAATGTAAGTAATTAGAGATTGCTTCCCTGTAAACTTGACAAAATTTAATTTAAATAAAAACATAGTTTGCTTTTGTTAAAACCATTTAAAGAGGATTTTTGAGAGGCTAAACTCAGCTAAGGAGTGGGGAAAGGTGGGTAGTAATGGGGAAACGGGTTGCTACAGAGGTGCGCCCCCCTCTGAGAAAATTCCTAGATTCACCACTGATTGAGCAGTGGTGCAACAACTGGCGCATCAAAATCAATGAATCAAAATGCAAACATATCACTTTCACCCTGCGACGCAGATCCTGTCCGCCAATCCTTTTTAATTAAATTCCACTTCCCTACTCAGACACAGTCCGTTACCTTGGCTTCCTTCTTGACAAAAGACTAACTTGGAACCCACATACCAGACTTAAAAGACAAGAACTTAACCGACGATATGGCCAGCTGTATAAATTATTAAGTAGGACATCCCATCTTTCGATTGAAAATAAACTTTTAATCTACAACACCATACTGAAACCTATCTGGATCTACGGACTTGAACTGTGGGGAACTGCTAAACATTCGAATATCAAACGCATTCAATCCTTTCAGTCCAAAGTACTCAGAACAATAGTCAATGCCCCATATTATGTCACAAACAAGACCCTACACCATGACCTTAACATCCCATTTGTCCTCGACATCATCCCATCCAGATTCTCAAACTTACACCAGAACCTTATCCATCATCCAAATCCTCTAGCTCAATCCCTATCCAGCTCCCTTCATCCCCACAATCCTCCACGAAGGTTAAAACGGCAGTAGCCCACAGATCTCTTGTAAATATGCTTCTGGAGTCCTGCCAATGGCCAGCATCTTCACTCATGTCCTGAGCGTCTGTGGCTCTAGTGCCCTCTTTCAGTCTCCACTGGCTTCTAATACTAGTGATGCGGCTGGAAAAGTGGCACTGGGATCTCCTGGAGTCTTACTTTGCCTTCCACATGTGGGGGAAAAAGCCTGGCTCGGAGATTCCTGGGCGAATGTATATATTGTATATAGGTATGATTGTGTTTAGAAGTTTCTATTTTATGTTATTTGTTTACTTTTTTTTTTTATTTACTTTATTCATCAGTATTATTTATTTACTTTTTATATTTATATTTATTTCTCTATTATGTGTATATATTGTATGAATGAGAACTCTTAGCCCTAATGCTTATAGCCCTCCAGCAGAGACTGATTGTATTATTATTCAATAAATAGATTAAAAAAAAATTCACCACTGCCCTATCTTATATGTGGCATATAATTAATGAAGAATGATTTAAATTATATGTGACTGATTCTTCAAACCGACTTATTATCTATTTAAATTTTTTTTTAAATATTTAACAGGAAGAAAATTATACCTGTTACTATTAACAGGAGAAAATAGACTATGCATGTAGAACTAGTATATTTACTACTACTTGTGGATATTTCATTTTGGAATATCATATCATGCATCAATGAATGAATGAAAATACGTACTAATTTATACCGCTATAATTTTAAAAAACTATAATTAAATTATATATATATATATATATATATATATATATATTTTTTTTTTTTTTTATTAAATTAAATATAATAAATACATTATTGTACTTGAGAAAATTCTATATGTATTGTTAAATGCTTAACTTTTTTAATTTCATTTGCCTATATATGAAACATATAGTAAAGGAAAGTGATGTGGTAGTGAAAATTTTCAAATCTCAGTTTTCAACGGAAATACACGTTTAGATGTCTCCTGAGTCCAAATAACCAAGTCCCGCAAAATGGTCTGTGTGAGCACAGGGGATCTACGGGGGAAGGGGAGGAGGAGGTTTTAGGGCTGAAGCACCCCTCCCCAAAATGATTAAAATATAACCATGTTTTATGAAAAACAATTATCTCTTAAAGTATTATTGTTCGTCTAATTACATTTAATAGGACTTAAAGAATCACTTAAACACTAATTCATATTTGTACTTAGTTTCTTTCTTTCTTCCGAAGTAATTATCGTAATATGTACAAAAATCTATCTATCTATCGGGCTGAAGCCTCCCTCCAAATCCTGATCCTGGATCCGTTAGTGTGTGTGATAACAACATGTCTGAAACACGAAAAGTCGTACGATACTAATATTAAGTATTTAAGATAGGTATATGCCTGGAATGTTACAGCAGCTTTTTCTTCAAAATTGGTTGACCGGAAGCGTCACTTAAATTTTAAATGATTTCCTTGAAAACGACTCTAATGATTTGATTATATTCATTGTATCGGTGTAAAATTAAGTACTTTTTAATATATTCTAGTTCTTATTCTCATTGATGTACTATAACGGGGCTTCAATGCCTAATTTTCAAAATTTCTTCTAATTCACGAAAATAGTTTCGGTGAAAACAAGAAAAATATAAGCTAAATTATTTTAAAAAATAAAGGTGAGCTATTGCTTAAGTCAGAAATATGCTGGAAAGAAAAGAAAATAACAAACAATTATCATACACAACAGATAGAGATTATTGTTTGTGTTTTTTATATGTAAAATGTTCTATTATTTTAATTTATTCCCCATTTTACTATTTATATATATATATATATATATATATATATATATATATATTTCAAGATGGTTTATAAACATATAGGTACATGAAAAATTGTTTATTTTAATTCACAAATAAGAGTTCTGCGCATGCGCTTGATTTGAATACCCACATTTCACGTCGTGTCCCTCAGTTTTACTATTTTTTAGTAGAATAAGTGCTCAGTTTTACTTTTTTTAAAAAAAACTAGTTAAGCAGACATCAAAACAACAACAATGGACTAACACCACAGTGAGTAGTGTTGTTATTTACTGTGTACTATTACAGACAGTGAATTTAGTGGTTTAGCGTCTATAGGCTTAATCTCTATAGCCATAACAGCTGACGGCTCCCCACTCCAGTTGTGGCCTTGCCACGTAACTGGCGAGTTCACAGTCGACGGTTCATCCATTCTAATATCACGCAGACATAGTTTTATTTATTTTATTTTTTTTTCCCCTTTCTTTTTTTTTTTTTTTTTTTATATGCGATATTACCACCAAATAATGTCAACTAAGAGGTCCCATTCATTTGGCTCTACCCCACGTAATTCACCGCCTAAACAGAAAACACGTCGTAGTAAGCGATTAACACCCCCCCGAACTCCTCCAGCGAACACTCAAGTATCTGTGTCTCAACCACTGCCAAGTACGTCTTCACAAGAAATGGAATCTCCATTTTTTACACCTAATCCATACCAGGTGCTTGAAAATGACAGGGAAGAAATGGAAGATGCACCTATACCTCGAGAACCACGCCCACCTCCTATCTTTGTCAAAAATTTGAGAAATTTCCAGTTGTTGTGTACTCAACTTAATAAAATCTGCCCAGGTAGCTATACATGCATAAACAGAATAAATGATACAAAAATAATACCGGCCACACCTGAAGCGTACCGAAAAATCGTAAAATATTTAACAGACACAAATGCGGACTTTCACACATACCAGTTGAAACAGGAAAGAGCACTACGAGTTGTAATAAGAAATTTACACTCCTCAACCCCAATAGAAGTGATTAAAGAAGAGTTAACGGCGTTAGGGTTCAAAATACGTCAGATAACCAATGTATTAAAAGAAAATAAAGAACAACCAGGTGTAAAGAATAAAATCCCATTGCCCTTATTTTTCGTCGATCTAGAGCCATCGCCTGGGATCGAAAAAATATACGATGTGAATAGAATTTTCTACACCAGCGTAAAGGTCGAAAAACCGTACCCAAAAAGAGAGTTCATCCAGTGCCATAATTGCCAAGCATATGGCCACACCAAGTCTTATTGCCACCACTTACCACGCTGCGTGAAATGTGGTAAAACACACAAGTCTGGCGAGTGTAATAAACCAATTACAGAACCAGCAGTCTGTGCCCTATGCCTGGAAGGCCATCCAGCCAACTACAAAGGCTGCCAAATTTATAAAAATCTTAAAGCGAGATATATGAAACCCAGGGACCCTGATGATACACCTAAACCAAGAAGAGGACCCGCTAAAATTGTGAACTCTAAGGTTTCTTTTGCCAAGCTACTTGGGGGTAGAGACCCGACTAATGAATGTGAGGCCCTGCCGCAAGAACAAACTCAACCCCAATCTCAATATCCTATCCCACCTAATGTACCTAATCAACAACAACCTCACCAACATCAAATCCAATATGTTCCTCCACCGCCTAATGCTACAGATCTAACCAGCTTATTGACATCCTTTCTTTCAGAATTTAAATCCCTTGTTACCCCACTGATATCACTTCTCACTAACCTAGTATCTCACCTTATCCCTCCTTTAAAAAATCCTTAAATGACTTCCATCAAACCCATATCCATTCTCCTTTGGAATGCGAATGGTGTTAGAAATCACATACACGAACTAACAGCCTTACTACAAGACAAGAACGTAGACGTAGCCCTAATAACGGAAACTCGACTGACTAAAAAACAGCTCCTAAAAATACCACAATACATAACTTACCGTACCGACCATCCTGACGGTAGAGCACATGCCGGTACTGCAGTCATTGTGCACCAATCCCTCTCCCATCACCTACTCCCACTGCCTACACACGATTTCCTACAATCCACCGCAGTCGTAATCAAAACCTTCTCCTTTCCTATTACCGTTGCATCAGCGTATTGCCCTCCAAACCAATCCATCTCCAATATCCAATTTAGTTCCTTCCTCATTTCCTTAGGACATCATTTCATCTTGGGTGCAGACTTAAACGCCAAGCATCAACAATGGGGTTCAAGAACCACGAATTCTCGTGGTCGAACATTGCTGTCTGTACTCAATTCCCAAAATTTTACCCTTCTTCCACCCAACTCACCTACCTACTGGCCCACTGATCCTAACCGTAATCCCGATATCCTCGATTTCTTTATCCATAATGGTTTAGGTGCTCTCAACCATTCCGTTGCCCGTCTTGACGAGCTTTCCTCAGACCACAGCCCATTAATACTCCAAGTATCACTAGCTCCTATTCCTAAACCCTCTCCTCCGTCCTTCATCAGAGGCCCAGTTAACTGGAAACTCTTTCATCAAATCCTCTCCGATAAAATTGACCTCAGAGTAACCCTGAAAACCTCTGAAGACCTGGACAATGCAGTACATTCCTTCACTACCAAAATTCAAGAAGCAGTCTGGACTGCTTCCTCCCCTGATCACTCCTCAAAAATCCTTAAGAAACATAATTTACCTCAACACCTCCTTGACCTAATCCACATAAAACGCCGTGCCAGATTATTATGGCAACGTACCAGACATCCAGCCGACCGCCACTCCTACAATTATCACTGTAAAAAATTAAAAAAAGAATTAGCCACCTTCAGATCCCAATCATTCAATTCCTACCTCACCACACTCTCTGCTCATGATAATTCCCTTTGGAATATCACCAGAAAAATCCTCAAATCCCATCATATTTCCCACCCTCTTCGACGAGATGATGGCTCCTGGGCAGCATCTGATGAAGATAAAGCCGAGGAATTTGCCAAACACCTTTCCTATACTTTCGCTCCTCATCCAGAATCCCATCCTAGCCACACAGTAAAAGTAGAAGAATCCCTCTCAATACCTATCCCACTCTCCTTACCACCTAAAGCTGTTAATCCCTCTGAGGTCAAATACCTTTTACGGAAAATCACTCCTCGCAAATCTCCTGGATATGACCTTCTAACCCCACAGATCCTTCGACAACTTCCATCTAAAGCCATCATATTTCTTACATATATATACAATTGCATCCTACGAACTACCCACTTCCCTCTTTTATGGAAACATTCCACCATCGTCCTCTTCTTGAAACCAGGCAAACCTTCTAACAATACAGCATCCTATAGACCAATTAGCCTACTCCCAATCCTCTCAAAAATTTTTGAAAAGATCCTACTGAAACGAATCCTACCTATAATTGAATCCTATAACCTTCCTACTCATCAATTCGGATTTCGTTCCCAACATTCCACTGTCCAACAAGGACTCCGAGTTGTTGACCATATATCCTCAACCCTAGAAAGCAAGCAGTATTGCTCGGGTGCATTTCTGGACATAGCGCAAGCTTTTGACCGGGTATGGCACGCCGGATTACTCTTCAAGCTTAAAATCCACCTACCACAGTCCTTATACCTAGTACTCCGATCCTATCTTTCCGACCGCTCCTTCCGAGTTCGCTGTGACACCGAATTCTCCGACTGTTACTCAATTGAGGCTGGCGTTCCTCAAGGCAGCGTCTTGGGCCCCATCCTTTACATTCTCTTTACCGCTGATATTCCTGTCCATCCCGATACCCTCCTGGCAACTTTCGCTGATGACACTGCTATCCTTTCTTCCAACTCAGATCCTGAAACAGCGTCCGCAAACTTACAAAGGCACCTCTTCCTGATTGAACACTGGTGTAAGAAATGGCGCATTAAGGTAAACGAATCTAAATGTAAACACATTACCTTCACCCTTCGGCGTAATACCTGCCCACCAGTTTATTTTAACTCCATCCAGCTTCCTTTCTCAGATACAGTCCGGTATCTTGGCTTTCTCTTAGACAGACGACTAACATGGAATCCACATACTCGACTTAAAAGACAGGAACTTAACAGACGATATGGCCAGCTATATAGACTACTGAATAGAAAATCTAAACTTTCTGGTGAAAACAAATTACTGATCTACAAGACAATACTGAAACCCATCTGGACTTACGGACTAGAACTATGGGGAACAGCCAAATTTTCTAACATCAAACGCATTCAATCCTTTCAGTCTAAAGTCCTCCGTACAATAGTCAATGCTCCCTTCTATGTAACCAATAAAACCCTACACCATGACCTTAATATCCCATTTATTCTTGATCTTATCCCAGCCAAATTTTCCAAATTTCACCAGAACCTTTCTCATCACCCAAATCCCGTTGTACAATCCCTATCAAGCACCACCCATCCCTACAATCCCCTTCGTAGGTTAAAGCGGCAGTAGCCACGAGACCTTTTGTAAATATGGATATTTTGGAGTTCTAGCAATGGCCAGATTCTCCACTCAAGTCATGAGTGTCTGTGGCTGTAGCGCTCTTACTCATCCTCCGCTGGTTTAAAATACCAGTGAAGTGGCTGAGGGAGAAGCATAGGGATCTCCTAAGCCTCCCTTTTCCCTCCACATGTGGAGGGGACAGGATTGGTTCGGAGATCACCTGGCAAATTGTAAATAATGTATATAGGTATGTTTTATATAAGGTGTTTGTTTTACTTTTATTTCTATTTTTATTTACTTATGTGTATATATATTTTTTTTTTCTTTACTCTTTTGTTCTTTTTTCTTATTCTTTTGTTATTACTTTATTTATTTATATTTTTGTATATACGGTATGAATGCAATCTCTGATCTCTATTATAAGTGTCCTTAAACTGTGACAAATTGTAATATTTCTGAATAAAGTGTTTTAATAAAAATCAAAAAAAAAAAAAATTCACAAATAGGATTACTCTTTGGTTGTGAGACCCATCTAGCCTATCTCGTCACTATGCTAGTCTTCCCTATACATTTATCAGTGTCCCCATCACATTTCGTGATTAAAACTTTAATCTCAGGATTTTTGGAAATCCGCTAGTATAGTCCATCAATTTTAACTTATACGATCAGTCGAAATGTCAATCATCGCTCGAAATGCCTTGCCGACCGACTGTGTAGGATCTGCTTAAATATCTAGCCATATCAATATAAGTCAAAATTAAAAAAAAAAAAAATAGTAATACTCTAGGAAAATCCGTATATTTATTTAGACAACAATAGTAGGTAATATCTAAGGAAACGAAACACCAGCGCACGGTGGGACCAGAAAGGTAAAACTCTTTTAAAAAGACATCGGCTAAATCTGTTGAGTGATCTGAGAGTGAGGAAGTTACTATTTCCTTACTTCGATTTACAGATAATTTGCTATTTGTTGCTATTCGATTTTTATTTCCTAAAATACTGATGTTCTCTATAACCCTGGACTTTATGCCTCCGTCCGTTTTTGTCTTTCATGAAAAAGTGGTTGGTGTTTTGTATTTAACTGTGTTAATTATCTGATTTTCAGGACATGAAATGTAGAAAGTGGGGGATTCGCTAAAAACATCGATTATTGAATGAAAGATACGAGGGCTTTCATTTCTCTGTTTGTCTTTAAGTTTAAATATACAAAAATAACTCTATAACATGTAATAAATCTCTGTGCGGTTTGGACTGTTGTATAGTTAGTTACGAAAATAGTATTTCTTCGCGCCGTGATTACTTTAAAAACAGTTTTATTCATAAATTTTATTTTTTATCTTGGTTAAATTAAAAAATTTCCCATAAGAAGTACTACTGTATTTACTTTTTTCTTATTTTGTTTACCCTTAATCGCCAATTCTGGTATACGAAGAGGGGAGGGAGAGGAGGATTGTTCTAGAGGTACAATCAAACCTATTCTTAATATAGTGGAAAAGTCGAGATCCATTTCGTTTGCCTCGAAATAAAGTTTACATAAACCAGCCGCCATGAAATAAATAACCGGGCAACGCTTTAATACGCTCGGCCACAAACGGCCTCATATATTATTCACCTAATTTAATGTTGTACAGTCCAAAAGAACAGATAACTTAAATAAAATGAAAAGGGTTTCTTTTTATTACTCCTACGCCAAGGTTTTAGATCGAAAATTCATTGCGAAAAATTTTACGGGGTATTTCCGATTTTATTCATTTTTATTTGTTGAGATGTGGATGCTAAAAAATCCCAACGAACCAATATTTGTAATATCTCAACAATGGATTTAGATATGGATATAATTTTGGCGGCGCTAAACTACATTTTCAACTAACTCCTGGGACAGGAATCCCAGTATTTAAATAATTAATTTTATACTTATCATGCCTTAAATTTAATGACAAAAAAATACTATGGTTTCTAGATGAACTAAATATTTCTTCATTTTTTTTTTCAGAAAACGAATCCAATAACAAAGAAAGGTGCAAACCAAAGAAATAAGGAACAGTATAATGTTAAAGCAAAGAAGTCTGTTGGAACTCTAAAACGAAGTATATTCTCAACTAGGAGCTCTTATAGCCTATCTAACACATTACCTGAAAATAAAATTAGCATGCTCCATTTAGAATGATACGTAGTTAAACATTGAAGATTTGGTTTAGAAAAAAAAAATAGAAAAAAAAAATTGAATTAGAAAAAAAAAATAGAAAAAAAAATTTGAATTAGAAAAAAATAGAAAAAAAGAAATATATATTTGTATACCATGAATGTTTGATTTTATTTACAACTTTTGTTATGATTTAAATAAATATATGAAGGAAAATGTTTCACGGTGAACTGCAATATGAAAAGCCATGATTCCACTCGAAATTATTACTTTTCATGTTAAAAACAAATTATAAAACTGGCTTATTGAGCCAATTAGTTGTAATTTAATACATATTATTATGCAATTTTATACATCAGTACTTCAGTACGACTAGGTTGATTTAAGTGGAATTTCACATACAGGTTTCCGATAGGTTAAATATGTCAAATTGCAATTATGAAAAGGTAAATAAATCAGCTGGTCTTTATTTCATCATCAGTACTTTTGAGCAGGGAGAGCAAAGTACCTCCTATATGTCCATCCTATATTAAGTGGGTATTCTTAACTAAATAGTTAATCAAGGAGGCAATAGTGGCTGTTGAGCGTGATCTCGGTCCAATCACCTCCCTGCACAATTATTGGCTTCGAAACGATACATTCCTACTATACGGTGGGACAGACCCCGCTGGATAGTCAGAGAATAATAAAACGTGACAAAATATTAAAACATAATTGGCTTAGGCCATAAAAAAATTCCAGTAAAGTCAATCTTTTTAACAAAAAGATTCAAGTAGAAAATCAAGCGGCGTTTGTAATTAAACGGCTATCAATAACGAAAAACTTGCTAAAACAAAACCATGCAATAGAGCTTCAAATCCTATTTATCTTCAGAAGACCTTCCTTTTCTACTATACAGTTCTCGTTGAAAACGTGTACAGTCGTGATCAACACCTGTAGTAGCAATTAGTTTAAGTATTCATAAGAACGAAATCATAGATACTGCTGCGAAGGCACTGGGACCTTCCCTCTCCCTCCTTATATTATCAAGTAGGATATGGGGGAGGGAGTAAAAGTACGCGGGGCAAAAACGTGACACACTTTTTTTTTAACCCACCATCAGTGTTACAGTACATTCAATGAATTCCAATTCTGGAACAGAACTTAATGGTGTTGCAGTATCAGTGAGCCACAAAAATTAGGCAAGTCACTATTTAACAGTTTTTGTGTAATACATATTTAATATTTCACATACCCGTTTAGGACAAGACTATCACTTCTCTTATCGTATTTATTTTTCTTTTAATAGTGGATATTATTTTTCTGTATAATTTATTTTATTTATTGTACATAGAATGTGAATGTGATCTCAGAACACTATTATAAATGTCCGTGAGACAGTTTGTAATATTTTTCAATAAATAAGTTAAAAATTTAATAGTGATGCATGAAATCTTTTTAATTCATTATACAATTTTTATATTGTCCACTAACTTCTTCCTCCCTCCCCCATACCTTCTAAAAGGGGATAAAGTTCTTAAGGTCTCTGAAAAAAAGCTATTTCTGAATCTGATGAATATGGTTACGTTGCCAAAACAGACACAAATATGAGCCTGCACAACAGTAGTTCTGAATTTAATATGGGCATTTTTGAATTACATGATGTTTAAGATGCTGATGAGACTACCTTGCTCCAAAAAGGTAACTTCATTGTCGTGAGATACGAGGAAAAACCAAGGTTTTCAGTTTCCGAAATTAATTACTTTTATCCTAATAGTTATAATGATGTTGTCGAGGTATAGTACAGAGGCTAACAGTTACCAGATGGCATCGACAGAGCGTTACTCAATTTAGGGGTAAGATGACAGAGTGGATGAAGGGAGATGAATAGAAGGATGGCCTTAAGTGACTGGCGGATCAGCACCAAATCACTCTCAGTCTGCGGTGTAAGAGATCAAGCTTGACACCCCGTAAGGATGGTAACCACAGCCAGAGGGATCAATCTTCGGACTTGTGGGAGAATGAAATACTAACGGAGGGATCAATCTCCGGACTTAGTATATAGGAATACAAGCGGACTGATCAGCGTCTAGACTTGTAGGGAGAGAGAATAGGAAAAATGTTATGGGTAATAATTAAAGAAGAGACAATGTGGGCATTAATAAGAAGGATATATAAATCACATACTGTTAGATAGGTTACTGATAATCCTCAAGCCATAAGGGCTAGGAGATCATTCTTTTATGCGAAAGATAATTAACGAGGGTCGTACCCGATTATTCTGGTCTTATTTTTTTATCAGTTGATTTATATACCTTCATATTTATTTAGTAACATAAACATATTTTTACAATACATGTTTTACAATGAAAGAAATATTCATTTTAAAAAGTTAATAATACAAAAAATAAAATATAAAAATCATCTTGTGATAAAAGCGTCTTGTGGTGGCGCAGTCTCGTAGCGGGCGTGTGAACTACGTGCACATGGCCACTACAGGACTCCACACAGAGCCGCCACAGGACTCCCCTACTGGATGACGGAGTCATAATGAAGTTTTTCAAGTGAAGTTCTCTCGATGGTATTCGACTTCGTCGCCTAATCTTACCCTTGGTTTTATGAGCCGTCCTGATCTTGTTTTATATTCTTCCTGGTTTTGGCTATTGTTAGCAGTGTTTTTTAATATTGGTGTGAGTTGAATATCAGGAGAGGCAGGTAAGTAGGCAGGTTTAATTTTGTCCAGTGAGATGTTTGCGGTAGGTCCTGGTAGCTGTAGTAGGTAATATTTAGCTTCTTTTTTAAGGACTTTATATGGTCCTGAGTATAGCGGTACCAAAGGACGTTTGACGCCATCTTCTTTGACGAATACTTGTGTACACGTTTCTAGGTCTTCGTGGACAAATGATTTTACAGTTGAGGTCTTACTATGAGCTGGCCGTAGCTTTGAAATATTGTTCTTCAGTTCCTGCAGTGCAACGCGTGGCTCATAATTGTTTTGGTTTGGTTCGATGAATTCTCCAGGCAGACGAATAGGACATCCGTAAAGAGCTTCAGCGATGCTTGACGATGTGTCATCTCTTAGACTTGCGTGAAGACTAGTAAGGCTGGTGGCAATATTTATGTCCACTGCGCGATATTCATATGGGCAGTGATAGCAGATTTTAGGTTTCTATACCAGCGCTCGATGCAACAGTTGGATTGCGGGTGATAAGCTGTAGTCCTGTATCGCTGAATTCCAAGGAGTGTCGTAAGCTGTCTAAAGAGATTTGATTCGAACTGACGGCCTTGGTGGGTCGTTATTTTTGCAGGTACACCAAAACGACATATCCACTGACTGTAGAATGCTTTGGAAACAGTTTCCGCAGTTATGTCCTGTAGAGGTACAGCTTCAGTCCAACGAGTAAAGCGATCAATCATTGTTAGACAATAGGTGAATCCGTTGGATGGTGGTAGAGGTCCTATCAAGTCTAAATGGATGTGTTGGAATCTAGCGGATGGCTGGAACTGTCCTAGTGGTGTTTTTGTGTGCCTATGGATTTTTGAGTTTTGTGTCAGAGCGCTTTAGCCACATACACTCATGTCTTGAGTGGAGAATCTGGCCATTGCCAGATTCAAGATATATACTACAAAAGATCTCTGGACCACTGCCACTTCAACCTTCGAGGAGGATTGTAAGGATGAGTGGAACTAGATAGGGATTGTGCTAGGAAATTTGGATGATTTATAAGGTTCTGATGGAATTTGGAAAATTTTTCAGGGATAAGGTCGAGGACAAATGGGATATTAAGGTCATGATGTAGGGTTTTGTTGGTTACATAGAACAGAGCATCGAATATTGTTCGGATGACTTTGGACTGAAAGGATTGGGTACGTTTGATGTTAGAAAATTTTGCTGTCTCCCAAAGTTCAAGTCCATAGGTACAAATAGGATTCAGGATTGTCTTGTAGATCAGTGATTTGTTGTCAATTGAAAGTTGAGATTTTCTAGTGAGTAGTCTGTACAATTGGCCGTATCGTCGGATATGTCTATTAGTCTAGTATGTGTGTTCCACGTTAGTCTTCGGTCTAAGATAAAGCCAAGATACCGGACTGTATCTGAAAAAGGAAGCTGGATGGAATTAAAGTGGACTGATAGACAGGATCTGCTCCGGAGCGTGAAGGTAGTGTGTTTGCATTTGGATTCGTTTACTTTGATCCGCCATTTATAACACCAGTGCTCAATCAGAGAGAGGTTCCTTTGCAGATTTAAAGATGCTATTTCGGGATCTGAGTTGGATGATAGGATAGCGGTATTGTCATTTCTTAAATTTTAATATTATAAATATCGTCAGAATAAAATGAAAAGATAAGTCAAACTTTAGTTATAGAATTATATGCAGGGTTTTTCAGAGCTAACTGCAAAAATGAACTAAGGACCTCAAAGTAAGAAAAAATTTCACTTGAAGATATTTCCGTAAACGCTTTGTTTAACCCCAAGATTTTCGTTGTTATGAATTATTTACGTTATATGAAATAAATAAATCCAATTTAATTGTTCTAACTACTTTATTAATTAAATGAAACATTAATATTCATATTAAATGTTGTTCAAAATGAAGGTATGTCCGTAAACGCTTTGTTGAGGTGATGGGTTAGATAGATTACTAATATGGGCTTTTATCCCTAACTGTATAAAAAATATTGGCAACATAAGGATTAATACTATTTGAAATTAGCATTGGGAGCTCTCAATAACATTTATCAGTTTAAGAGGCTTTCGCAGAGTACTCATCATTATGGCTTCCGTTTATACTAATGATGAATATGCCGATACGATGTTTGAATATGGTTTTTACAATGCTAATGCTACTGCTGCCCGTCGCGAATATGCTAGGCAATTACTTAATAGAAGTTTACAAAACTCTATCTTTAGCTCCACTTTCAACGTCTTAGAGAAACTGGTAAATTTGCTATAATACCACGTGCTGATAGTATTTTTGCTCCGTTACGGAATGAAGAAAGTGCGAACCCTTCACCATCTCCCCATCAACTAATACGAGGCATTC